AGGCATGGCTCCAGCTCTTAGGCCTCCGCTGCTGAAAGCAGGTTTCTGGCCTTTGTTTACCTTCTGTATTTGAAACAATGTTGTGATCCTGCTGGCTGAAGCCCGGCGACTAAAGCAGGTTTCTGGGGTTTTGTTTAGCTTCTATATTTGTAGCATAGTTGCTTAGTGTTGCAGCTCAGAGGCTGGCAGTGGCAGGCGGGGAACGTTGGAGTCCTCCGTCACTGAAGCAAGCAAGCCTCATGTTCGCTTCAAGCTTCCTGGCTGCCAGCCGCCATTTTGGCTGGCAGTTAGTTTGCATATCGCCCTGATTAGCCAATGGGAAGGGTGGCAGTCGTACACTAATTACCATGTTTCTCTTTTATTAGATAGGACTAGAGGCCTGGTGCACAAAATTCTTCCATTGTGGGGTCCCTCAGGCCAGCCTGTACCCTCTCCAATCTGGGACCCTACAGGGGATGTCCAACTACCTCTTGAAATCTGGGACTGCTGGCTCTTAACCACTCACCTCCATGCCTGCCTGATCGTCCCTAACCCCTCTGCCTGCCTGCCTGATTATCCCAACCACTGCTGCCTGCCTGCCTGATGGCCCCTAACCCTTTCCCTGCTGGCCTGATCACCCCTAACTGCCTCTGCCTCGCCCCACACCCAGGACCCAGGATTCCCTCCTTTGGCTGGCTGCAGGGACCCAGGACATGGGCTGGCTTCGCCCGGGCCAGCCGCAGCCTCAGGGGACCATGGGCGGGCAACTTCACTCAGAACGAAGCCATAGGCACTGGCACCTGGGACTGCGGGGCAGGTAGCTTGTCCCTCTCCCAGGCCACACAGCCTGGCTGGTCCCCATTCCTCTCTTGTGAGCTCATTTGTGCCTGGCTCGTCCCCATTCCTCTCTCCCCAGTGTTGAGTGTCTGAGTCGTTATGGTGTGACAGTGTGAGGGTGTGATGACCATTTGCATATTAGCTCTTTATTATATAGGATGATGATATATTTGAAATAAATCAGATACCACCAAAAATGAGAGAAAAATACTGCTTATCACTAAATTATAATATCTAAAATAAGTCTATTATTTATTTTTTTATTGTCACCAAGAACATGATTAGTGAGAGGGAGAGAGAGAGAGAGAGACAGAGAGAGAGAGGAGAACATTTATGTGAGAGAAAAACATCAATAGTTTCTATACAGGAATTTAACTGACAGCCTTGTGGTGCACAGGACAGCACTCAACCAACTGAAACACTCCAGTCAGGCTAAAGTAAGCCTCTTAATACACAGGTTTTATGTGAAGGAAACACCTTCTAAATATGCAAAATATGACCTTGAGAAGTAGATGTTTTTCTTAGAAATAAAACAAATATTTTTTGCTAAAACAGAAACAAAATTATATCTATGCAGCCCTGGCCAGTTTGGCCCCGTTGGTTAGAGCATCATTCTGTACATGGAAAGGTCACGGGATTGATTCCCAGTCAGGGTACATACCAGATTGCAGGTTCGGTCCTGGCCGGGGTGTGTATGGGAGGCAACCAATCCATGCTTCTCTCTCTCTCTCTCTCTCCCACGCTTCTTCTCTCTCTCTCTCTCTCTCTCTCTCTCTCTCTCTCTCTCTCTCTTTCTCTCTCTCCTTTTCCCTCTCTCTTCCTCTCTATCAAAAATATTATATCTATGCAATAAATTGACAGTCAGAAAAATGTTAAATAACATTAAAACAGCCTGTCTCATTTTTTTTAATCCTCACCTGGGAATGTGTTTATTAATTTAGAAAGGTAAGGAGAGAGAGAGAAAAACATCAATGTGAGAGAGACACATCTCTCAGGTTGCCTCCTGTACATTCCCTGACCAGATATTGAACCCACAATTAAGGAATGTGCCTGAGCAGGAATTGAACCTACAATCTTTCTGATGCATGGGATGATGCTCTAACCAGCTGAGCCACCCAGCTGGGGCCAGCCTGTTTCTTTTTTATCACATAAATGTCAGCTTGCTATTTATAATGTTTATAATAAAAATTTAAGTAATATTTTCTAATCCTTCCATGTTGTCACAAATGGCAATATTCCATTCTTGTTATAGATGTGTAACATTCCATTGTATAGATGTATCACATCTTTATTCATTCATCTATTGATGGACACCTAGATTGCTTCCATATCTTGACTATGGGAAATTATTCTGCAGTGAATATAGGGGGTCACATATCTTTTCAAATTAGTGTTCTCTGGGTAAGTACCCAGAAATGAAATTGCTGGGTTGTATAGTATATCTATTTTTAGTTTTTTGAGGGATCACCATACTGTTTTCCTAGGGGTGCAATTTGCAACAACATGGATGTGTCTACAACGTATGAGGCTAAGTGAAATAAGTCAGAGAAAGACAAATTCCATGTGATTTCACTTATATGGACTTTGAAAACAAAACAAGCAAACAAAATAAAAACAGATTCACAGGAACAGAGGCCAAAGGGATGATTTGCCAGAAGGGAGGAGTTAGGGAGGTTAGTGAAAAAGGGAAGGGGAACATGGTCAGTAATATTGTGATAAGTTTACACAGTGACAGATACTTACTAGAATTAGTGGGGTAATCACATTATAAGTTAAAAATGCCTAATATTGTACACCTGAAGCTAGTATAACCAATATAATATTATACAACTGTAGTTAAGTAAAAAATAAATTTAAATTTATAATTTAAAAAAGATAAAGAGAATCAAAGCATACGAAAAAAGGAAATATTTTCTGAAATAGTATGCTCTAATTTTTCCTTTTATGTTACAAATTTAAATCAGTCATTTCAAATAAACAGAAAAACTTAAATATAGAATACAAGGTGAAATATTTATGCTAAAAATGTTTAATGTAACAGATAAAGACTAAAATAGTTGAGAAAACAGCTATCACCTAACACATGTACTCTAAGAAAATAATAATTTAACATCCTATATAATAAAAGGCTAATATGCAAATGGACCAAACTGCACAACGACCAGTCGCTATGATATGCACTGACCACCAGGGGGCAGACGCTCAATGCAGGAGCTGCCCCCTGATGGTCAGTGCATTCCCACAAGGGGAGCGCTGCTCAGCCAGAAGCTGGGCTCATGGCTGACGAGCACAGCAGCGGTGGCAGGAGCCTCTCCCACCTCCACAGCAGTGCTAAGGATGTCTGACTGATGGCTTAGGCCCTCTCCCCATAGGGAATGGGCCTAAGCCGTCAGTCAGACATCCCCCAAGGGTTTCTGGACTGTGAGAGGGTGCAGGCTGGGCTGAGGGACTGCCCCCTCCCCCAAGTGCATGAATTTCGTGCACTGAGCCTCTAGTTTAAAATAAACACTTAAGTTTTTAACTTCTTAGAAATTGAGTTTGTGCAATTCAGAGGGTTACAAAACTTAAATGCTTATAGGGCTAAGACAAGCTATAGAATGAGTGAAGCAAGGGAAGTGTTTTGGGGTTGAGGTGAGAATGGAGTGATGGAAAAGCTATTCGCTGCTGAGAAAGAAAAAAAAAAGCCTGTGCTATCATAGCCAGCTGACTGTTGCAGACAGAAAAGTTCAAAAGAACTCAAAAATCTATACTTTCCTATGAAATCCACAGATTTTTAAGTGTTAGAAACTAATTTTTTTAATGCAATGTCTCACGGTCAAACTAAATAAATTGGTGGGCCAGAAATGATCGCCTATGTTTTTCTTTTGGAACAAGTGCCAAGAGCTCTTTCAGGGTATGTGGAATCAAAGACAGAACATGGTAAGGCTAATGTGTAAAATGGCTGTATCTAGACACAGAACTAATTTTAAAGATGAGTCTGGCTTCCTAACTCAGTTTTAAACACTTCTATAATAATAAAAGCATAATATGCTAATTAGACTGGACGTCCTTCCAGAGGAAGGAAGCCCGGGTCCCAAGTGCCTGCTGGTGGCCAGAGCAAAGCCCGGGTCCCAGATGCCAGAGGGAAGACAGTGCCAGGAGCTGGGAGAAGGCAGGCCTACTCTTGCACGAATTTTGTGCATTCGGCCTCTATTTTTTATAATTGACAATTATAAAGTAGAAGTAGGAAAGGAAAAACACATTGGAGACACATTTTCTTCTGCCTCATTTTAAGACTTATAATTTTGAATTATAATGACTGAACTGCAGTTAGATCAGAAGGCATCATTTGTTATCTTTTTTAATTGGAATGATTATCTTCTTTATTTAAACTTCTGTGCCATTTTCTAAAAAGGTATAATAAAACTACAAAATAGTTTATACAGGTTTCATACTATAGTCAGCTGCTTATTCATGAGTTCAATAAAATCAATTAAATTTTAACATTTTCAGGATTTTAAAGTAAGTGGGTTCAAAGGGATTCACAGAATTAGGCTTAGTTTTCAAGATAATGAAGCAATTTTGTTTAGTGAGGAAGGACAGGGATGAGAGAAAAAATACCATTAATATTTATCTTTAACAAAAGTTTTTAAGTTTCCAAGATTAACATCAACAATAACAGATATAATTTAAGATATAATTTGATATGTTGATAAAATCTTAATTTTACATTCAGCTTTTCCAGATATATACATAATGTAAATACTGTTCACATTCAATAATATCTGTGACCATATTCATTTGACTTATGTCCTGTTGGTTTAGAAATTTTGGGAAATAAGATGCAAGTTTTTCTGGTTGTGTCCTGGTATTAGAACTGTTGATTATCCTTTCCATAACTCAGCATTTTTTCAAACTAAGGTCCAATAAATAAATTTAGTAGCTTATGATTAAATTTTTTTCAGGATAGAATGGAATAGAATAGAAAATATTAGAGTGTAATGAATATAGTAGAAATAGGTGATTTTAAAAAACTTTTTATTCCATTTCATTCATACACACACACACACACACACACACACACACACATACACACTGGTCCATATTGTAAAATGTATTTCACATTGTGAATCGCTCACAAAAAAGCTTAACAAAAACTCATATTCATATGTAAAATATTTAAATTTGTGATTTTGCACTTATAGAAATTGAATTTAAGGAGGGAGAAACCCAGCACATTGTTGAAATTGAAGTAATCCATGATGGGGTTAGAGAGATGAGAGAGGCCTTCACTGTTCACCTAAAACCTGATGAAAATATGATAGCAGAGACACAGGTAAGTAATAAATACAGGTACAAATTCATAGCTAACATTTTATCAGGGAAATTGCATATAAGCATCTCATAGTGTACAATACAGTAATGGGACTCAGTACAAGCCTTATATAAAGGAGATGTGCATTATCCCTTTTAACTCCTAAATAAATTTTGTTCCTATTAGATTATAATCAAGAGATTCGTGTCTTTGTTTGAAAAATCATGTTTGTAGAAACTCAAGGACTAGAGTCACTGAGCCCTACATCTGCCCATGTACAGCAATTTAGAATTAACCTCCAGAGAGAAAGCATCATCTCAGCACAAAGATGAGACCATTAATTCAGTGCACAACTCATTAAAACACACATTTTAATTCACAAAATAGTTTGCTAATCTTCAAAAAATCTTTACCTTCTCAACCTAGCTTTATTAAATTAATGTTTAGAGTAAATATAACATTTATTGGCACTCACTTCAGCATAGCCCAAAATGTTACAGTTCTAACACCTCTTTTCTTTTTATTTAATTTATGTTGCATACGCAACCAATTTTTCTTTAAGATGAACAAATTTAAACATTTTTTTACCTTTAAATCCAAAACAATGTTTTAATAAGTTTTTATTGGTTTTAGAGAGAGAGGAAGAGAAAGGGAGAGAGTGAGACAAACATTGATGAGAGAGAAGCATCGATCAGCTACAGCCTGCAAGTGTCCTGAACTGGAAATCAAACCAGTGATCTCTTGGTGCATGGGATGATGCTCAAACCAACTGAGCCACACTGGCAGGGCCTAAAATAATTTTTAAAGCTAAATGATTTAGGAACAGATCAATATTTATAATATCTATGCCTAAATTTACTCTATTTCTTTTATTATTTGTTTCACTATTTTTATGAGATCAAATTAGAGAGATTTTCTTCCTTAAGTATGGGTTACCATTTTATAATTTCTACTATTTGGTGATATTTCTGCTACAGTGCCTTGCTTTTCTTAAAGTCATATTTAAAATTAAAGAAGTATGAGCAGAAAATCTTTTCTTAAGCCTTGATCACATAAAAATTAGTCTTTTGTTATTTTTATGGAGCATGTTATTAAACTTTTTTAAGTGAAAGAAACTGAGATTCACTTCAAGTAATAAAAGCTTTTTTAAGAACGCACTTACAAATATAGATTTGGAAACTATGGTAGTTAGATATTGGAAGAGTATTCGGGAGCTAAGGCAAATTTATCAGCCAGGTGTTCTGATTACCTTACCAGCAGCACATGTTCACAGATTCCTCTCCTATCATGACTCAACTTTTCCCTCTGCCTGTGCTTCAGGCTCCTTCAAGCTCTGACCATTTAAAGTTTTGCTTTTATACTGGCACTAACTTCAGCATAGCCCAAACTATCACATAACCTCTAGGATCTACCTTCTCTCAAGGTGTCTTTTAGCTTTTCTCTCACTATCAACTAACTGACTTTTTTTATGGATCTTCTACTTAACAACTCCAAGACAGATTTAGCTACTTTCATCACAATTTACAGAAAAAAATTAGAGCACAAATGCTTCATGGGCCTTTGTTCAACACATACTGCCCTGGGCTCAGGTACCCTTCCCTGATACCATAAGATATGGCCAAGGTGCCAGAGTCACATAGAATAAACCATACAGAATCTGTCACTCTGAAAGGTATCTGCGTGTGACAATTTTATCATGATGAAGCCAGGGACTTGCCAAGCATCATGGCATTGTTCTGTGCAATAGAACCACTAAGAGTCAAATATTTTAATAATCACAGATAATTATCTTTTGCCACTAGGTGACGAAAGCCATTGTGTATATAGAAGAAATGAACAGCATGGCAGATGTCACTTTTCCTTCTATCCCTCAAATTGTGTCTTTATTGATGTATGATGATACTTCCAGAGCTAACGAGAATGCTGGACCTGTGTCTGGTTATCCTGTCATCTGTATCACAGTGAGTAGGAAATTGAAGAAAATTGTAAAATAATTACTTAAAATAATTCTAGCTTAACTAATATAGTATTAGCTTTGACATGAAGAAAAGTGGGAAAATACTACTTTGAAAGGAAAATATGGTATTAATCAAAGTTCTCATTTTTCTTCCTTTATCCAACAAAGCTTAATTAAGTGATGTGTACATAGATTGTTATTTCATGTTATCTCAGTGTCTGTCACTAATAGGAAAATAAATAAGGGTCAGATTCTCAGGGAAATCAAAAAATAAAAAAGATAAAAACATGTGAAAGTTAGTTACTACGGGACAAAATATGAACATATTCACAAGAATAATGCAGCTCTATTTACAAGGGAAGGCTTAGGATGGTCCAGTGAAATTTCAGTTTGAAAGAAGAGTCAGATAAGGGAAAGTTATTTCAGGAAGAAGTAATTGCATCATAAGTTACATCTAGAAGAATAGCAAAAAAAGTGGTATATTATCTTTCACTGCTTTTAGAGAGAAAGGAAAACAGAGGGAGAAACATCAATGTGAGAGAGAAACATCAATCAGTTGCTTCCTGCATGTGGCCAAACCCGGGATCGAACCCACAGTTGGGGTATGTGCCATGACCTGGAATTGAACCGGTGACCTTTTGGTGCATGGGACAATGCTCCAACCAACTAAGCCACACCAACCAAGTTAAAGAATGGAATATTATTATTCCACTTTTTTTTGCCTACACTTAAATCTAAATTATAAGCTCCCTGTGAGCAAAAACTGGGGCCTATTTTTATATCATAACAGCCCTGGTATGATGACCTACATAAAATGGGTTCACAATAAATGTTTATTGAATTAACAAGGCAAACATAATAATTTGGTGTCAAGTTATAAAGGTCTTTAAATGTTACATTAAAGAATGTGGACTTCATTTGTTGGGTAGCAAGGAGTTCTTGCATAGAATTTCATGAGAGGAGAAGTTGTGTTGGAGTGTTACCAAGGCAGCAGTGTGTCACTTGATTAGAAAGGCCCTCAATTAGGGAGGTGGTGTTGGGAATGGGAAGGGAGAAATTTAAGAAATATTGCAAAAGAAGAATCAACCAAGTTCACTGACCCACTGGATGTGGGGGGCAAGATGAGAGAAAGGAGGGAAGAAGGAAAGGAGACAGAGAAGGAACAAAGATTCTCTATCCCACCATTATATGGACAACTCTGAGGATTCAAGAGATGATGAAATGAATAACACTTTTACTTGTATCACTTAGAAGTAGAAACATCCAATAGAAGTTTGAAATGTAAGATTAGAGTTCATAAGAGCTATTATGGCTAGGAATAAAAATTTGAGGGTTGCACAAATAGCGTGTAGGAAGGGGGAAAAAGCATCAGTGAAAGCACTATGATGGAACTTGAGATGAATAGTTTACACATTATTCTATATTGTGGCCCTAACAGAGTTCTGTGTTCCCCATAGGCTTGCAATCCTAAATATTCAAACTATGACAAAACAGGTTCTATTTGTACAAGTGAGAACATCAATGATACTTTGACTCTGTACCGATGGCTGATTAGTGCACCCACTGGCACTGATGGTGTGACCAGCCCCATGAAAGAAGTGGACTTTGACACCTATTTTACATCATCCAAGATGATCACTTTAGATTCCATATACTTTCAACCTGGCTCCAGGGTACAGTGTGCGGCTCGTGCTGTCAATACCAATGGCAATGAAGGCCTGGAGCTGATGAGCCCTATTGTAACCATCAGTAAAGAAGAAGGTAACATATTCCTATTTTCACACAAAGGTCATTGGGATACCATGGCATATTATAAATATTTAATTTCTGGCTATTAATTTTTTCAAATGCCCCATCCTAATATATAAAAACCCTGGGTCTATCACATCCACAACAATTGAAGACTCTACCTAATGCCCAGGCTGCGTGTGCAGCCGGCTCTGGTGGGTGGGGACTTGCGGCAGTGGAGACAGGGATGAGGGAAGCAGGGCCGGCACTCACATTCACTCACAACCATGCACACGCACAGACACACACAGTGCCCACCAGCTCACAGCCTTTTCTCCCTTTCTTTCCCTCCATCCCAACTCACTCTCTCAGAATGAGGAAACAAAAGAGACTGGGCCTGAAAAGGCCAGGATGGAAGGGAGGGTCGGCAGAGGGTGGAGCAGCCCCCACTGGCCCCACCTCCTCCCAACCAGGAAAGAGGAAGAGTGAGACAGGGAGGCAGGGAAGCCTGGAGGACTGCTGAGAAAAACAAAGAGACACAGAGACTGGGCGAGATGAGGCTGGCAGGGGAAGGCAGTTGGGGTTGAGATCAGTCCAGCAGGGGAGGGCAGTTAGGGGTGGTCAGATAGGCAGAATCATTTGGTGGCTAGATCAGGCCGGCAGGGGAGAGCAGTTAGGGGCGATCAGGCAGGCAGGCAGAGGCAGTTAGGTGCGATCAGGCAGGCAGGCAGGCGAGTGGTTAGGAGCCAGCAGTCCCAGATTGTGAGAGGGATGCCCAACTGCAGGCAGTCAGACATCCCCCAAGGAGTCCCCAATTGGAGAGGGTGCAGGCTGGGCTGAGGGACTTCCTCCCCATGCACGAATTCTGTCCACTGAGCCACTAGTGTATTTTATAATATGCTATACTAGTAAGTACTTAAAAATAATAATCCATTTTAATATATTTATTAAAGACAAATATTTGTTCATTCTACATTTTAAAATCACCTATCACACACCAGACTTTCTGCTGGCATATAAGTGCTTTATGCTCAGAATTTTTAAAAAATAAATAAATACGGCAAGATTATTGTCCTCAAGGAGTTTAAACTCAAATTGAGGACATAATGTTTAGTCTGGACAGGGCACAGAAATGCAAAAGTGGTTGTGATTAGTTCTACCCAGAATGGGTCAGGAAAGGTTTTATTAAACAGGAGATTCTTAATCTGAATCTTGAAAACAGAGGGGGAAAGGCATGAGTAATGACTCAGAGAAGCATGAAAAAAACATGGAATATTCTGGGAACTAAAAGCAGAGAAATGGAAGGCATGTGAGAGGAACAGAAAATGAAGCAGATAGTATACAAGGTTCAGACCTAGAAAATTGGCTCATATACGATGCTAAAATATTCCAAGTTGGTTGTTGCATGAGTAGGAGTTTGCTGGGGACTGAAGAGGAGGTATCATCCAGGTAGAGAAGTATGTACAAGTACCCAGACCTTGGTAATACAAGGGAGATTGTGTTCAGGACTGGAGCTTGACACGTTGGGGTGGAGAATAGGATATGGTTAAAGATAACAAAAGATAGGAAATCCACTTTATAAACCAATCCTTCACTCTACAGAAAACATTTTAAATTAGATTTTAAAATAAATGTTTATTTATAAGATTCTATTTCTAAAACTTCTATTTGCATACAAGGTTTTAGAAGTATACTTACTGCATAAAGAAATGTATATGTACCACCTCCCCATTTTATAATAAGGATCAATATTTTTTAATATCATGTATAGTAAATATGCCCTTTTATTGGGATTAAAACATATGGTGTTTGTTTCTCTTAAAACCAAACTTTTGAGTTGGTACCAAAAGAAGAAAAATTAAGGAATACCTTAAAATAAGTCCTACTAATAAAACAGCCCAAATACTGAGGCCTGCCCTCTGATTTTATTACTGTCCTAATAAGTACCTAATTCCCCAATTTTGTACCAGTTTAAAATTATATTTCCTAGATGTCTTCAAATTGTAACTCAGCATCTCGGTCCCTTCCATGATATTAAAATGAAAACATTAAAATTACCTTAAAGTAAATATTGGAGAAAGACTTTTCATGTCAAAATTCTTGAGTGCCAGAGAGAGAGAGAGAGAGAGAAGAGAAATAATGAGAAATAATTTATAATACACATACTGTAAGAAATTACATATATAGAGAAAACTAAATATTTTGTTCTCTTATTTCAAAGACACATTAGTTTTTGTTTTAAAAATGAGTGCAGTTTTTAGTTTTATTAGCTTATAAATAATGTATATTTTATAAGATCAAATAATGTATATTTAATGTTTAGAGTAAACATCAAATCACTTAATTAAACTACACTTACTTTTTTCCATTGATTTTCAATCATCCATACTGTGTCTGTTCATACTTTATATTAAACTAGAGGCCTGGTGCATGAAATTTGTGCACCGGTAGGGTCCCTAGGCCTGGCCAGCGATCAGGACCAATCTGTGGGGTGACTGATGGGGTGATCAGGGAGTCCCCACTGGCACCCGCCTTGGCTGGTCTGGGGCCTGCAGGCTGGGGGCAGCTCCTGTGTTGAGGGTCTGCCCCCTAGTGGTCATTGGGCATCATAGTGACCAGTCGTTCTGCTGTTCAGTCAATTTGCATATTAGGCTTTTATTATATAGGACTAGAGGCCCGGTGCATGAATTCGTGCACAAGGCGGAGGTCCCTCAGCCTGACCTGCACCCTCTCACAATCCAGCACCCCTCTGTGGATGTCCAACTGCTGGTTTAGGCTGAGGGATTGGGCCTAAACTGGCAGTTAGACACCCTCTCGTAATCTGGGACCACTGGCTCCTAACTGCTCACCTGCCTGCCTGAGTGATCGCCCCTAACCACTCACCTGCCTGCCTCATCGCCCCTAACTGCTTGCCTGCCTGATCACCCCTAACCACATGCCTGACTGCCTCATTGCCCCTAACCCCTCTGCCTGCCTGCCTCATTGCTCCTAACCATTCGCCTGCCTGTCTCATTGCCCCTAACTGCTCTCCTGCCTGCCTGATAACTCCTAACCACTCTGCCTACCTACCTGATCAATCCTAACTGCCTCTGCCTGCCTGCCTGATTGTCCCTAACCACTCTGCCTGCCTGCCTGATCACACCTAACCACTCTGATTGCCCCTAACATCTCTGCCTGCCTGTTTGCCTGATCTCACCTAACCACTCTGACTGCCTGCCTGATCACCCCATCTGCTCACCTGCCTACCTGATCGTCCCTAACCACCTCTGCCTCAGCCCCCGCTGCAGTGGCTTTGTCCAAAAGACATCCAGAATGACATCCAGAAGGTCGTTCAGCTGTCCGGTCTAATTAGCATATTATGCTTTTATTATTATAGATAATTTTGTGACTATACTTCACAACCTAGAATATTCAGCACATATTAAATCACATTGAACAAATATATTTTCTCAAACGCTTTAAAAATACCTCAAATGTTAGGAAGTAGCCAGTAAACTGTTATAATTACTTCTCATACCATGGTCTTCTGCTTCTGCTTTCTATTCTCAGCAATGCCTTGAGTCCAGAGAGAATATTAAAGTACATGAAAAAATCATAGTTCCTATTTTTAAAATACTCTTCAGACATTGTCCATTATTTACTTTTAGCATAAATGTGTTCATTTTTAGGTCTTTGTCAGCCTCGGGTGCCAGGGATAGTGGGAGCAGAGCCATTTTCAGCTAAGTTGCGCTACATGGGCCCCGAGGACCCGGAGTACACAAACCTTATCAGGCTCACGGTCATGATGCCACACACAGACGGTAGGTGACTTCAGTAAACAGTCATGGAAAGTTTATTACCAGGTTTATTTTCCTGTATACTCTATTTAACTAAGCAGACAATAAGTGCTCAATTTGCAACTTGAGCTTCAAGTTTTTCTGTTTCTTTCAAATTTTTCTGCTTTCTTTCTGCCCATTTAACATCCTGACATTTTAAGCATTCTCTAAAATTAGGTAAGTTTAACACATGTCGAAACACAATGGAATAAAATGTTGGTTAACATGCTAGCTATTATGAAATAGCACAAATATATCTTCAAAACTTTTGATCTTGGACTTATAGTAAAGCATTTTGGAATCTCAAATGTTCACCTTCAACATGTATTTGCTATTTCATAGCTGTAGTTTTAGAAATCTCTCCCAATATTTATTGCAATAACTAAGACATCTTTTAGGTACTGAAATAAAATTAAGAATGCAACTAGCATTATTGTATTTTGTCTTCATTTTCTCTGGGTAGGGAAATATGGTCAGAATTTGTGAGTCAATAATTTTACCTATACTTTATGAACATTTTTCTACATACAGAAGACATTTCCAAGTTGTATTCCACTCAATTCACTTTATACCTGAAGTAATTATTTGTTATTTCTCAGTTGCTAGTTATATTTTAAGTAGCTAAGAGAGATGAAATGTTAGGTACTATCAGAAACTACAAGGTAAACTCCCCCACCCTTATAAAATGTTTTGTCTGTTTTTTATAAACCCAAATTTGTTTTGAGCAGGCAGATTAGATTGACAGGAATCTGTACCTCTTTACAACATAACATTGGTCCCACATTGGCTCACTCTCTCTATAGGTCCATTTGGATATGTGACTCAGGGGTGCAAAGGACAGGAGAAACCCATCAGGCTAAAACGGACCTACCACAGTGAGAGAATAAGGTGGAAGAGTCCAATAATATCTTAGTATTATTACAAAAATAGCTTTAATGTTATAGATCTCCTGAAAAATTCCCAAGACACCAAGTGGTACTAAGATACTACTTTGACAATCACTGCTCTCAGAATTTTATGACTATCTTCTCAAGAGATAAAGAAATTAGAAAGTGTTCTAAGCCCTTCGCTGTTAGCAAACAAAATAGATCCAGAGACATGGACACATGCAACAGACTGGAGAGTCTCAGACAGAGGGAAAGGGAGGGGAGCATAGTGGGGGAGAGGCAGGAACAGATTAACCCAAGAACTTATATGCATATATGTATAGCCCATGGACACTTAACAATAGTGCAGTGAAGGCTTTGGGAGGGATGGAGTCGGGAGGAGGGGGTAATTGTGGGAGGAAAAAAGGAGATCTGTAATACTTTCAAGTATAAAGATAATTTTTTAAAAAAGAGAATGGTAACAATGATTAAAATTCCTTATAGGCATGCTCCCTGTGATCTCCACTAAAGAACTTTCCAACTTCGAGCTCACCCTCAGCCCTGATGGCACACGAATTGGAAACCACAAGTGCTCAAATCTCCTGGATTATACTGAAGTAAAGACCCATCATGGTTTTCTGACTGATGCTAGAAAAAATCCAGAAATAGTTGGAGAGATGTATCCTTATCAGTACAGTTCGTCTATCAGAGGTTCAAGTACCTTGCGCTTCTACCGAAATCTGAACCTAGAGGCCTGTTTGTGGGAGTTTGTTAGCTACTATGACATGTCAGAACTTCTCACTGATTGTGGAGGCACTGTTGGAACAGATGGACAGGTATGAATTTTTAACATCTAAATGTTGGTCACTGATAAACCAGTTGGCTTGTTCAGTTACATAGATTTGGACTAAATCCCAAATCCAGTTTTCCATCTTGGTGATATAATTCATTAGGTACAAGAGGGACCAAATAATTGGCATGAATGGTGTGAAAAGTCATGTCTATTTCTGGAACAATGTGTCAAAATATATCTATTTTTAACAACATTCTGAATCTGCTATGATATAATAAAAATCCAAATATTAAGTAGTTTTCAAAATATACATCCTCTGACACACTTTTCTATCTTTTATTTATACGATCCAGATAGCTGCTCTAGTGAAGTCCTGCACTTACCTGCTTAAGGCTTATCCTATTATATCTGGCTACTTCTCCAGTGTATCAAGGACATATTTAATGCAAATGTTGCCCTCTACTATATTCATCTCTCCAGCCAAATCTTACCATAAAATGCTCAGCTAAATTTACTATCCTTTCCTGGTGCCTTTTTTTAAAATCAAAATTTCACTATTTAATTTTTAAGGTCAGTATTTTTTTCTTTTCATTACCACTGCTAGCTAGAAAACTCATTGTTATGATTCGAAGTTGAGTTGCCTAGAGTTCTACTCTGCAGTAGATGAAAACTGGCAACTTGCAGGTTTCAGTTAAGTTTTGCCTGCCTGAGAGGCTTAAGTTACATAATACAGAATAAAAGAGTATGCAATTAAGTATTAAAACATCCAATTATTAACCAGTTTGTGTATGACTTTCTTCTGAAAAGATTGTTCTGCTTTTCCATTATCTATAATAATAAAAGTGTAATATGCTAATTATACCGGACAACCGAACGACCTTTGGGACATCATTCCATATGACCTTCTGGACAAAACTGTGGCAGTGGGGGCCAAAGCAGAGGCGGTTAGGGGCCATCAGGCAGGCAGGTGAGTGGTTAGGGGCATCAGGCAGTGAGGCGAGTGGTTAGGGACAATGAGGCAGGCAGGCAGAGGCAGTTAGGAGCAATCAGGCAGGCAGGCAAGCAGTTAGGGGTGATCAGGTAATCAGGTGAGCAGTTAGGGGAGATCAGGTCGGCAGGCAAGTGGTTAGGGGCTATAAGGCAGGCAGGTGAGTGGTTAGAGGCGATCAGGCAGGCAGGAAGAGGTGTTAGGGGCAATCAGGCAGGCAAGTGAGTGGTTAGGGGCAATCAGGCAGGCAGGCAAGCAGTTAGGAGCCAGCGGTCCAGGATTGCAAAAGGGATGTTCGACTGCCAGTTTAGGCTCGATCCTGGGCCTAAACTGGCAATTGGACGTCCCCTAATACGTCCCGGATTGTGAGAGGGTGCAGGCTGGGCTGAGGGACACTCCCTCCCTCTGTGCACAAATTTCATGCACAGGGCCTCTAGTTTAAAATAAAATTTAAAAATAGCATAACCATGATAGAGAAGCAGTGTAAATCATTAAAATTTTAGGACCTTATTATAAAATTCTAAAAGCATCAGCATGAATGGCAAAACAACCTAATAAAACATGTTGCTTACTCTCTTAGAATGAAACCATGTGTCTTAGAAAAAAGACAGTCTCATTTTCCTCTACTTTTTTCCTTGGGCTTAAACTTCTCCCCCAGCTATTGATGTTTTCCTACATCCTACCCCTTGGCCCCCACCACCCACCCACACCCATTTTTAAATAGAGGTGTGGGAGAAGAAAATATAAATTAAGGTAGAAGAAATCTAACCCTTTGAGATATTTTTCTAATTTTCCCCATTAGTTTGGGGTTCTAGAGAAGAAAAATACCTAATAATTGTACTAACAATACCAATAATGATGGTAATAACATTTATTTAATGTTTACTATGTGCCTGACATTCTTCTAAGCACCTTACATATTTCCACTTAGTCTGTCCTCACAACAACACTCTTGCAACAAGTGCTAATTTTGTCTATTTATTCATTTTTGTTTTGTTTGTTAATCCTCACCCAAGGACATTTTTCATTGTTGTTTTTTATTTTGTTTTGTTTTTTATTGTGTGTGTTTTGTTTGTATTTTTTAGAGAGAGTGGAAGGGAGGGTGGGAAACAGCGAGAGAAAAACATCAGTGTGAGAGGCATACCTTGATTGGTTGCCTTCTGCATGTGTCCCGACTAGGGTAGGTATTGAGCCTGCAACCAAGATATATGCCCTTGACCAGAATCAAACCTGGGATCATTCAGTCCACAGGCCAATGCTCTATATACTGAGCCAAATGGCTGGGCCTAATTTTGCCTCTTGTTTAGAGATGAGAAAGTTGAAGCAAAGAGATTTCAAATGGCTTGTTTGGGAAAGTCACTTGTAAGCCTGTGCTCTTAACCATATTTTGTTACTTATCTAGACATTTAATTGAGTGAATTCAAAGGTCATTTAATTGGGTGAATGTGAGGAATGGGTATCATCACAGGTGCTATTGCAAAAAAGGCAAATAAACTTTTCCTTTTGTGCTGGGTACAAGAATGCTGCCCAATAGCAGTCATATTAATTTTTGCGAGATTATATCCACACCCACTGTTGGTAAAATTATGCAAATACATGTCTTTACAACAGTAGACTACAGTTTCATTTGAGCACTGGCAAATCAGATTGAAACATACCTGAAGGGAGAGCAAACTAAATACTTGGTGAACACATTTTACTTTAGAATTTTACAAACTTTTACATTTCTGCATTTAAGATGGGGAAAATGGGCAAAAATAAAAGTAAATCATCAACATAGGTAAATGTGCTTCATAGTAGCTTTATATTTTTGCCCACTCCATTGCACAACACCTTAAAGCAGCCAATGCTGACTTGGGCCTATTTTTTTTCTAACAATTCCACAAATCCCTGGCCAAGCATCTAACAGATGTGAATTTCCTTCTTCTGGTCCTTCATTAGACTTGGCACTTAGATCAAGGTAATCACTGTGCACACAAAATTTTACTAACTGGTAATTACTTCTGCCAGGAACAACAGGATGTAAAACTGATTTTTTTATTTATGTGTTCTTTGTAGCTAAAGTTACTGCCATGACATGTTGCCAAGTTCCTGTGTTTTTCTTTGTTATTAAAAAGCTGTTTATAACATCCTTTGAAAGGGTTTTCTGACTTCCCCAATTGCCCACATTGAGATTTTTTAACTTATAAGAAAGAGTTAGCAAACTGAAAGAATCACCTGAAATGTCCAGGATGGTTATCTGTTAACAACAAATGAAATATTAAGTTTTTGCAATTTGATTACAGCTAGTTTTAACTGATATTATGACTATTTCTGTTTTAGCCATCTGATTTATTGTACATTCATAAATTAAAGCCATATTCCATGAAAACCTACCCTATGCCTGAGATCATACAAAGTACCTATTGAGGGCATCAGATACAGAGCTTACATTTCAATGAAATAGAGTTTTAAGAGTCAAATTGTTACTCTTTTTTGTTGTTGTTGTTTAAAGTATTACATATGTCTCCTTTTTCCCCCATTGACCCCTCCCCGGCCACCTCCACCCCACAGGACAGGCCCCCACTGCCCCAGTGTCCCTGTCCATTGGTTATGCTAATATACATGCATACAAGTCTTTTGGTTGATCTCTTACACCCCCCTCTCATCCCCCCCCACCCCCGCCTTCCCTCTGAGGTTTGACAGTCCGTTCGGTGGTTCTATGTCTCTGGATATATTTTTGTTCATCAGTTTATGTTGTTCATTATATTCCCCTTATTTAATAATAAGGCTCTTAGTAAAATGTCCATCCATGCTATTGCAAATGGTAAAAGTTCCTTCTTTTTTACACCAGCGTAGTATTCCATTGTGTAGATGTACCAAAGTTTTTTAATCCAGTCATCTGCTGATGGGCACATAGGCTGTTTCCAAATCTTAGCTATGGTAAATTGTGCTACTATGTACATAGGTGTGCATATGTCCTTTCTGATGGGTGTTTCTGATTTCTTGGGATATATTCCTAGGGTTTAATCTCTAAAATTTACAGGGAACTCATGCAACTTAACAAAAGGAAGATAAACAATCAAATCAAAAAATGGGCAAAGGATCTAAATAGACACTTTTTGAAAGAGGACATAAAGGATGCCAAGAGATATATAAAAACATGCTCAAAGTCACTAATAATCGTAGAGATGCAAATCAAAATAACAATGAGGTACCATCTCACACCTGTCAGAATGACTATCATCAACAAACCACAAGTGCTGGAGAGGATGTGGAGAAAAGGGAACCCTCGTGCACTGCTGGTGGAAATGCAAACTGGTGTAGTCACTGTGGAGAAAAGTATGGAGTTTCCTCAAAAAGTTAAAAATGGAACTCCCATTCGACCCAGTACTCCCAAATCATTACTCTAAAAAAGTTCAGGATTTTACTTGCAAATAAAAAAGAAATGCGGAGACTCTAATAATATTTAATATTAAAATGATTTTTGTAGTTATATTTCCTTTTTTAATTTTCTTTTATTGCTTAAAGTATTACAAAGAGTATTACATATGTCTCCCCCCCCCCCTTGACATTCCCCCAGCCTCCCCTACCCACCAGTGTCTTATGTCCATTGGCTATGCTTATATGCATGCATACAAGTCCTTCGGTTGATCTCTTACCCC